CTGAAGGAAGGGCCGCGCCCGCCCAGTCCCCGCCCCTTTAAGCTGTCATGGCGCCCCACGTGACAGGTTAACGAGGCAGCCGAGCAGAGGGACAAGGGGCGGCATCCAGGTACTGAAGGGCGAAGCAGGGAGGCCCCGAAGGGCTGCAGCAGGAACAATGAGGCTCCACAAAGTGGCCCACTAAGCACTATCAAGGACGCCGTAGTACTACTGGCTATGACTGGCGGTAGTGATGGTGATGCTGGCAGCCGCGGCGGTGGCGGTGGTGGGAGCTGGCCTGCCAGGATCACGACTGCCAGTGCAGCGGGAATGCCCCCGCCGCGCTTCAACCCTTTATTCTCCTGCCTTTCGCACGGCGAACTGCATTCCTTCTTCGTGAAGGGCGCGGACCTCTTATGCATTTTTAACGCTGCTTCACAAAGCAATGGTAAGCCCAAGGTGCGCCGGAACACCATGGCTATTTAGGGCTGCCATCGTTAGCGGCGTTAGCGACCACTCGCTGCCGCACTGCTGCCCAGTTGCTGTGCTCGTCACCAACATTATCATCTGGACTCGGCTTCTAATATTTCCCGGCCGTCCATCCGAGAACGGTCTGAACAGGTCATACGCGCACTGTGCAGCGATAAGAACCCAGGGTCGCGGCCGCGGAGTGACGTACAGAGCGTGGGAGAATGCAGTAATTCAATCATGTGGCAGCGTACAGCAACCCCAGGTAAGAGGGTATCACCCCGCGGTCTCCGGACCCGATGCCAGCCGTTGGGGCACAAACTAGAGATGCTAAGTCAATGCCCCTTCTGGGGTATCCCTGTCTCGTCGGTGCCACCAGGAGTGCCTCGTGCCTGAGCAGGAGTAGGGCGTGGCACCTCATTAACTACTCGAGGAGACTTACGTAACCGCCAGGGTGCGACGACGACGCCCTCGCCCCGACAGCGGGTTTGATTTCTCGAGCAACCGCGGCCACGGGCGTTGGATTACACCTCACAACCGGTTCTCTCGCTCCTCCTCGCGAAGACGATAAAGCCCGCGCCCATAAATTAAGAGACCGCCATGTGGCAACACACACAACCGGAAATGTAACTATCACAACAGTAAACTTTTTCCCCCCGCCAACCGCTGTTTTCTTTTTCTTCTCCTTTTTTTTATCGCTGCCGTATGCCCTGGGTCGCAGGTGCTGAGGCGTCGCTATGCCGTCGTCAAGTCTACGTGCCACAGGAACGGAGGGAAAGAAAGCAACACAGTCCGAGATATTCAAAATCAAATATAAAATATAATTTCCGAGGTGAACAGGAAGACAACCAGGACGATAAAGTAAACAACAATAATGTAATAAAAATACTAATTACAATATTTCTCATTACAATAATCATTACAACAACAATAACACTAAAAAGACGATAACAACAATAATGACAACAATGAATAACAAATAATAATAATGATAATGAATAACAATAATAACTATGACTAACAATATCGTCAAACAACAATGACAGCAACAACCATGACAACAATAATAAAACAGTAACCATGACAATAGCAAACAATAAAAAATAATAATAATAGCAACTACATTATAGTTAGAAAACAGGACGAGAAGAGAAGGAAGAAACACAAGTCTTCCGAAGAATCAACAAAACTTAACTTATTAAAAAGGGTAACGAGGCAAATGATGCAATGCAGGAACGGAGATGAAGGCGGGAGAGAGAGAGAGAGAGAGAGAGAGAGAGAGAGAGAGAGAGAGAGAGAGAGAGAGAGAGAGAGAGAGAGAGAGAGAGAGAGAGAGAGAGAGAGAGAGAGAGAGAGAGAGAGAGAGAGAGAGAGAGAGAGAGAGAGAGAGAGAGAGAGAGAGACAGAGAGAGACAGAGAGAGACAGAGAGGGGGCGTGGAAGGACTTGTAAGCCACGCCTCCGAGGGGAAGAAAACGATGACATTGTCCCTGGGCGCGCTGGCCGTATCGCCTCCCCTCAATTAACGCCTTTCCCCTCACCTTCCTCTCCTACCTCCACTCCCGATGCGTCCTCTGGCCCTCATATTCCCCTCACCGTTAGTCCCTCACAAAAAAAAATGAAGTTGTGGCGACTGCTAACTTAATAGTAAATTCACTACGATTACGAATGATGCATGAAGGGTAACGCAGAGAGCGACAGCTTTCGAAACAACAGATCCCCCACGAAAATACCAAGGCTCATGGCTTAAAAAATAACCAAGGATAATTTTCCATCTGATGTTTATGGAAAAGTTTAAGACTTAATCAATACAAGAATAAAAAACTAAAAAAAAACAGAAAACTACAGAAAAAAAACGACTGCTGACCGTCTTGCAAGTGGAACGTTATCTCCCTCCTCCTCCTCCTTCCCTCCCCCCCACCCCCGCCACCACTCACGTACCCCCTTCCACGCTCAACACTCGTTGCATTGTGCAAGAAAGAGGTCTCGCTAGAATCGCTCTGACACTTCCGGTTAAATTTCTCGAGTCTACTTCTAATAGTAAAAAAAAAAATCCATTACAACGTATCTGACCTGAAAAAAATACAATCACCATTTTTATTACCATTCTCACAATGAAAGAGTATGATGGTAATGTAATCCACCTAGTACACAGAGACGGCGACCCCCACGTCCAATAACCAAAAAGAACAACCACAATCCAACTTGCCAAAGTACCAATCAACACCCCCCCCCTCCCCCCCCCCCTCCCCCCGTTCAGACTCGAGAGGAAGCCGGCGCTGGAGGGAGGCAGGAAGGGAACACATTGGTGTTTACTGGCACCGAGACAAGTCATGCTGAGACATGCCAGACTCTCGGACCACGTGGGTCTGTTTACAACGATCCCTGTGACGTAGGATGGGGGGGGGGGGGCATGACTTTTCGCTCGTCACATGGTTCAATGACACAGGCCAGGGGGAAGGTGTCGGTCTGGAAATGCACGTTGGCACTGCACAGCACATGGCGCGGGGAAGCTGCCTTTTGGGGGAGCAAGAGGAAGAGGGAGGAAACGAGGAAGAGGAAGGAGAAAATGCGAAGGGAAGAAGAAGAGGAGGAGGAAGAGGAGGTGGAGGAGGAGGAGGAGGAGGAGGAGGAGGAGGAAGAGGTGGAGGAATATAAAGAGAAAGAGGAGAAGAAAGGAAAACGAAGGGTAGGATCAGGAGTAAGAAGGGGGAGAAGAAAAAAAGATGAAAGAGGGTTAGGGCAAACAAGAGTAAGAAGAAAGGGGAGGAAGCGTAGAACAGAGAAGAAAATGGCGAAGATGACGACAAAGCTCAAGAGGTCACAAGACAAAAGAAACAGCACACCGACGAGAGGGGGGAGGGAGGGAGGCGGAGAGAGAGGGAGGGAGGGAGGGAGGGAAGCAGGGTGGGAGGGGATGTGTCAGACAAGTGTTATCATCGACAACATTAAATCCGATACCTGTTCGTCATCCCTCTCCAATTCCCAGAGAGAATAGAAAGCAAAATCAATATGTGCGAATGTGTGCGAGAAAGAGAGAAAGAGAAAGAGAAAGAGAAAGAGAAAGAGAGAGAAAAAGAGAGAGAGGGAGAGAAAGAGAGAAGGAGAGAAATAGAGAAAGAGAGAGAGAGATACAACGAAATAGAGATGCAACGAAATAGAGATACAACGAAATAGAGATACAAAGAAATAGAGATACAACGAAATAGAGATACAACGAAATAGATATACAACGAATGAGAAAGAGAAAGAGAAAGAGAAAAGAAAGAGATACAACGAAATAAACATTAAGAAAGAAAGATAGAAAGAAAGAAAGAAAGAAAGAAAGAGAGAGAGGGTTTCTTCACCACACAGCACCCGTGGGAGAGCCGCTAACATGAGCTGCCCTCTTAGCTTCATAACTCCTAATCAACCCCAGATAAGACCCTCCCATCGATTATCACAAGGTCAGCGTTGGCTTATTTGCATACCGAGATTTGAAACCTACTTAAAGAAGACGGAGGAAATGAAAGAAAACGAGCGACTGGGGACGAAACAGAGCATAGGAGAAGCAGAAAGGGGGTAAAGGTGATTAAGCTAGAGTTAAGAAGATGGGGGCGAATGAAAACAAGAAGACAAGAACCGGTGGAAAGAAGGTGGGAAGGGGGGGGGGGACAAGATGGAAGTGGGGGGGGGGGGGAGGAGAGGAAGAAAAAAGGAGTATGAAGAGGAGGTGGGCGAGAAGAGGGAAGGAGGACGAGGAAAGGCGGAGGGAAGGAGGACAAGGAGAGACGGAGGGAGGGAGGGAAAAGGAGAAAAAAGAGAGGAAAGGGAATGGGAGGAGGGAAGAAAAGGGTAAGGGGGAGTAAGAGAAAGGGGATAGTGAAAGAAGGAGAGAGAGAGAGAGAGAGAGAGAGAGAGAGAGAGAGAGAGAGAGAGAGAGAGAGAGAGAGAGAGAGAGAGAGAGAGAGAGAGAGAGAGAGAGACATACAGAGAGAGAGAGACATACAGAGAGAAAGAGACAGAGAGAGAGAGAGAGCGAGAGAACATGTGCGTGGAGAGACGGGGGGGGGGGGGGGGTGTCAGCCAGTTCCGGGAGAAGGAAGTGCGAGCCAGGCGGGTCCTCCACGCCAGGATACACAAATACATCGCCACGACGCTGAAGGATAGCAAATGAGTGGGAGGGAAGGAAAGGACAAAAAAAGGAAAAAAAAAATGAAGGGAACGAAGAGGAAGAGAAAGGGAAGGAGAGGAGGAGGATGAAGGAGAGAGATGAAGGAGAGAGATGGTAGTACACTTGGAGATTAGGAGTGCATGCATGATGAAAGGAAATGGGAAGAGGATAAGGAAGAGGAGTGATGATGATGATGATGATGATGATGATGATGATGATGATGATGATAATAATGATAACAATGATAATGATGATGGTGGTGATGATGATAAAGACAACAATAATGCCAATGGTGAGGAAAGAAAGCAAAAAGATAGAGCGCCAGTGACCACCTCTTCCACCCCCATCCCCTCCACTTACCCCCAATCCCTCCCTCCCTCCCTCCCTCCCTCCCACCCACC